CCTTAGAGGAACCCACAACTAGAAAAATATCTTCTTAACAGGAAAAGGAGAAAAGGAGAAGACGGCGGTGTGGGATTTAGAGAACAATGACTTTGTGCTCTTTATCTTTCGCCTCTGAAACATTTGAACTAAAGGAAGGAGCGAAGTGCGCTGACAAATGTGCTGTACGGACGGACCGGGCGGAGGCGACCTGAGGCTTCGGGTTGGGCCTTCTAGAGCTTGAGGCTCCTGTTGGAAGCAGTCATGCAGAAAACAGGATCTGTCACAGGACACCTGAGGTGATGCGGGAAGAGGCAGTAGCTCATTCGACGAGAGGGAAGAGAAGCTCACTGATATTCGAGTCCGACTCTCCAGGATGACTCCTGCTGCTGAAAGTAGTGACTGCACTGCAGGATGTAAGCTGAGGAGAGCTCTGACACACATCTTTGTGGACTCCATGAACACTTTATCTTTTCTTATCACAGTCTGAGTTATGGCCCGGCCGTCTGTGACTTACAACATGAAATGCACACAGCTTGACTGAATTATACAAATAAACCTCAGATAAGCTTCATAACTGTGAACCCACAGCAGAAGCTGAGAAACTTTGGTGTCCATTTCTAGAACTCAGTCCTAAGCATTGACATTCGATGAACTCCTTGAAGCCTCTCACACCTCAGTATAAATCAATAAATATCAATAAAGTCGAGCTTTGACGACCAATAGGATCATTTCTGTTTTTTCCAGGGTGGCTGCACAGGCACAGACCACCCTCACTAACTTCAACTCAGGAGAGCGAAACAACGCTTAGTCCAACAGCTGAAAATCTGCACATCTCAGCTTCCTCATGTCATTTCACGGAGGCAAAGTTAAATATTTAACCTTCTTGGACGTGTCTGCATTCACGGATTATAGCACAGCATAACATAGAACAGCATAGCATAGCATAGCATAGAATAGAATAAAATTGAATTGAATTGCCCTTTATTGTCATTGTACATGCACAATAAAATTGTGTGTACTTTACCTGACTACTGTGCAAGAAATATAAAGAACAAAACAGATTCTGTACACTTCGTTGGTGTGTGTAAAAAACTGAAACACAGTTTATTATCAATATTATTATCATTGTTTCGGATCGCTCAGCACTGACCTACACTGAGCTACTTTACAAAGTCTAACGGCAAAGAGCTCCGGCGCAGTGTCACGCCCTGACACGTGGAACGTAAATTTAAACTTAAGTGAACAAATGAACGAGTGGAGAAAAACACGCAGCTCCAGTTTGAGGGTGGAGCTGCTGGCACTGAGGCTGAGTCCATATCCAGCTGTTACAACAGCTGTATTGCACACACACACTGCTGCCTGTGTGTGTGTCAGTGTTTAAAACCAAACAGTAACAGCTGGGTCACATGATCAGCCTCAGCTCAGCGTGCACGACTCTCTGCAGTAACAACCGGCAGCACAAAACATGATCCCAAATCACACAGCTCAGGCTGTCACTGTGAAAAGGCCCCACTATAACAACCACTCACATACAGTACACATTCATAAGCAATGAAAAGATGATGAATAACAATGTTGAAGGGCAGTTTGAGTGAAGTGGCGGGAACAAGACTGAGAATCTCCAAGACTCAAGCCAGAAAATGGCAGAGACACCAGCCGGGATGAAGAGGAGTGTAGGTGCTTCCCGTTCCCGGGGAAACACGAGTCTGCAGCTCGCTGTGGGGACGACAGAACTGAGCTAGTTATTTACTGCTCAGTCTACAGTCACACCCTCACCGATGGCCACGAGCAGCAGAAATGAATTTCTCTGAAGGTGTCTGCACTCAGAGAGAGGGTGAGGAGGAGGAGGAGTACACCTGCTCCTCCTCCTCAACATAAGGAGAAAGTCGTTGTTGCTCAGCATCTGACCAGGACGCCTCCTCAGTGACTGTCCAGGGTACTCAGATATTGTTCTAACCAAATATCAACCAATCACTGAACATCCATATGACTTCAGTGCTTGTAGCTTAAATGAATGTGTGTTATAAATTGTCACCAGTGGAAGTGTGATTGTGAGGAATGCTCATTTTTGTGTGCTGGACCTTTACACACACGCACACTCTTCTTTAAGCCAGGACAGTCCTGCTGTGTCTCCTCTCTGTTCAGAGGGATTCTCATGTGCTTGTTGTGTTAGCTTTAGCATGCTAGTTCTGAATTTTAAACCGTACCATGAAAAAAGCGCTGCTCTCTGCAGTTTTGTATAACTTTGCGAGACCACCTGCACAAACATACACAACGTTATTACACTACAAATGTGTGAAACTGGGTCATCTCATACACTTTGCAGTCTTAACCCATGTCCTCCAATCAAAACCACCTGAAAAGCTCCAAACACACAACATGTGTTATAGCACACAACATATGACCAGATGTATAAGAGTGAAGCTGCTGCTGATGCTGAGGAAGATGATGATGATGATGATGATGTTTATCTGTATGAAGTTTTTCACATTCCTGGTTCCTCTTCCTCTTCCCATCCTCTCCAAGGTAATTCCCCTCTGCACCCTGCTCGATCATTTACTGTAATCTATTACTACACCGTTCAGGTGTTAGTCCCTTCATCCTCCAGCTCTACATCAGCAATGTGTGCTCCACCCACAGCATCTACACTCCAGGACTTCAGTCCTCACCTCCTACTTCCATCTCCACTCTCTGATGACCTCATCATCTGAGTCTGATCGCCAAAGTACTTCTTATACTCCTACTACACTCAAATGTACACTGAACACTTTCTCCCACTCAGAAGTTGTAAACAATAACCGACCTGAGACTGGTGAGTTTTATGAATGTGTTACATGCCCACAGCACACAGTGGGGGAAATAAGTATTTATTATCACATCATTACCACATTAATCTAAGTTGAAGCCGAGCTGTACAGAGTCAAATTTCAGTCTCCCCCAGGTAAGTGGACCCCATTTGGCATCTGTATGATAAAAACTGTGAGACACAAACTGAGTGCCGCGCAGAGACAGATGTCTGCCCCACAGCAGCAGCTCCAACAGGAAACTGTGCACAGAAAGATTTTCTCGCATGTTTCCTGCATCTGCGACTGAGCATGCATCTCTAGGATGATGGATAAAGACTCAAAGCCAAGGCTGGAGAGGAGATCAGACCACAAACCTGATTCCACCTTAAGCCTCAGAGCTCCCATCATTCTATAAGTTGGAGACAGGAAGTCAAAGAGCCACATACATGATCTCATGTATGTCAAGTGCAGCGTGGGCCTCTCCAAACGCTGCTGGAGGCAGTCATCACATGACACGGACCCCATCCATAACAGCACAGCACACAACGAGGTCATGTAGTACTACCTCATAGCTGAACCTGAGTAACTACTGTACCGCGACCTCCTGCTTCACGTACATCATTTTAATTCTGACTCAAACGTCCTGAAGGAATCAAATCCTGTGTGTGCCTGGTTTAGTAATGAACTCTCTTTTTCCATGAAGCTGAAAGGAAACGTTAATGTTGGATCCACATTTTATATTTTATGGTGTTGCTGTTTGTGTCACAGTTCTTCTTTGGGTTCAGCATTCGTAGTTTCAGTTTCAGATTCAGATTCACTGTTGACACACAGGAAATATCTGAACGTGAAAACAACACGAGGCGCGATCAGCGGGTCTCTTTAACCTTCTTCTGATCAGCTGACCTTTGGGGTGGGTGGAGCTTATGTGTTTAATAAAGTGAGATAAGCTGAGTGGGATAACCATCCATGCACTGACCTCATTATTAGAAACCTTATGACTAATATGGAGCAAGAAGCAGAAGCTTAGTGCAGTTAGAGGTGCTGAGGGATGACAGAGTGCTGCCTCACACAGAGTGGAGATCACACTGAATAATCACACCATCAATGATGTTTTCTCACAGAAACGCCCACAGCAAAGAGGAAATATTTAATGTAGAGATGTAAAAACCTCAGCTTTCACTTGGTTCTGTGCTCCAGCTCCAGACTGATGCTCCCTGTCTCTGGCTTCTCTGAGAATTGTGTCTGTGGATCTGTGAGGCAAAGAAAAGGAAGCCTTCCCACTGATGATTTCTGAACAAAGTCTCATCCGTCTCTCATCCTCCAGGCTAAAAGTTGTTAACCAAGAACAGAAAAATGACTTTCTTTGCATCCCAGCACAGCAAAAACAGACCAGCCAGCACTTTCAGCAGGATCAGTGTTTTAATCAAACCCACAAGCCGGAGGTAAAGACAACTACAGAGGCAGCGAGAACCCCCGGCTAGCTGATGATTCCTCAGCTAAACCAAATATCTGAAGATGAGGATGTCCCTGAAGAGGAAACCAGAGCTGTCAAAATACATTTGAATATTGCTTATACATAACATAATGGACACCAGCGTGTGGGTGAAACCATGAGCACTTCACACTCAGCGTGACTTACAGGACTGAAGCGTCTGTTGGAATGAGATTAATTATGAAGCGTTTGGGCAGTCGGTTATGTTTCACAGTGTTTCATGTGAACATTAGTGAATTCATTCAGGTCGCAGAGTGAAGCTCACCACTGCAGCTCAGCTGATACACATCCACACAACACAGCCTGCCTGCACGTCTGCATATATGCAAATCTGCAAGCCACTTTGTAACTGGCCTCTGCACCCTCTTTTCTTGCTGTTTCATATCTGTTGTCAGTGATGCTGTTTAGTTCTGTGTTGTATGAACCTGAAAGGCTGCAGAGCCACAGTTTCCTGTACAGGAGTAAGATGACACATCCAAACTCACATTTGGCAAGCTGCCTGACAAAAATGAAGAAAACGTTTTGATTCATACTATAAAAAAGCAGCGTCATGTCACGTCTCTGATGCATCCATGCAGCGTCAGCATCTACGAACAGTCAAAGCTCTCATCACTGAGTCTGACTGAGCTAACAGCTAAAAGGTGGATTTTGTGTTGTGTATTAATCAGCGTGACCATTGTCAGGAAGTGTGTAATCACACATGGTGTGATTATTCTCCGTAAAAGTTGATTAATTCTCACCTCTCACCGCCGAGCTCCGCCATCGCTGGCATCTGGCCTGCAGCGCTGACATTCATGTGACCATAAATGCTGAGAACCCTGCAGACAGAAGACCACTGTTAAAACATGAACATGATGATTTACATTATTAAAGAGGGAACTTTTAATTACAACTATCACACCAGTCCTGGTCTCAGCAGATTACATTAACATAGGTGAGTTAAACCACATCAGGATTATGCAAATGCAACAATTTTGGTTGACATTTGCCGTGTGCTGATGAACGACTTGCCGCTGCACGTGCAGCTTTGGATTTGGGTCGAACGAGTTTGAATTCAGAGGATTTCAAACTGACTGTAAGTCTGAGTCTGTAAGGAAAGGTGATTACTAAACATCTGACTGACCAGCAGCTGGAGGTCAAAGACTGAGCATATAACATCCAATGTTTTATGAAATCGACTGTCGATTTAAGCATTCAGGAGACTCGGGTACTACAGTAACATTTATTACATTTCAGCACCAAGGATAAGAACAGAGCAGAGTCCAGGACACTCACTGAGTGGTTGAGACTGGCCTTTAAGTCTCCACAGATAAAAATCTAAAAGAAGACCACAGAGCAAAGGTCTCGAGGTCATCCACGGAGTCAGGGCATCAAATTTCAGAAAGCAGATCTGCTGTGCAATTCAATTCAGTTTCATTTATACAGGGCCAAATCACAATGACAGTCGCCTCAAGGTGCTTTTTGTGCTTATTGTAAGGTAGACCCTACAATAATACATACAGAGAAGAACCCAACAAACACATGACCTTCTATGAGCAAGCACTTTGGCGACAGTGGGAAGGAAAATCTCTTAAAACTTTTAACAGGAAGAAACATCCAGCAGAACCAGGCTCAGGGAGGGGCGGGGCCATCTGCTGCAACTGGTTGGGGTGAGAGGAGGAAGACATGAGCCTTTCATTTCTCCAGTGGAAAATGCGACGCTGTCAGCTGATTGTGTTTTTCCAACATCGAGAAGAAAGTCGTTTTTACTTTAAAAAAAACGACTTTCTCACATTTAAGAAAACTTGCTTTGTGTTTTGGAGTATCAGGAAACCCGGATGTTCAGTCAGGTAAGACAAGATCGCCGACGTTAAAAGTGCAGCATCAGTTAAAAATGTTCCCAAAATAAAAATCCATCAAAGCAAAACTTGTTTCTATTCATGCAAAATTAAACAGAAACAGTATTGGAAGGCAGCCCAAGGCTGCAGGTGGGATGAACGGGGGCGGGGCAGTGAAGGTCAGCCTGGCAGAGAAAGAGGCAGAGGAGGGTCATGCCCCGCAGATTTACCCCCGTTCAGCCGAGCAGGCAGCTGTCACGGGCACTTTGCCGCGTGGACGTTTATATCTGCACAAACGCAGCAGAAAGAACAAAATCCTCACCTAATCTACATCCCATATGCTGACAGACGCGCTCAGCTCAAAGCGTTGCACAGCATGGCAGAAAAATGTCTGCACAACCACTTATTTTTCTGTCACAAGGAAACAAAAGAACCAGACTGTGTCTGTAAATCTGCTGCACACAATCTCCCTGCACCAGCGTTTATATTACATTATGCCACGATCATGTGCAACCACATGCACAGCCACAACGATCTGCTGCAGTTATTCTGTCCAGAAACAGTTGATACAGACTGATGTGAGCTCTGTTAATAATCATACTGTCACATGATTCACCAAACCTTTCCCCTCCTGCTCTGTGGAGGGGAGACTCCCAGACGGCTCATTTATTACAGCATAAACAACAGCTGTACTGAAGAGCAGTGACCCTCTCCGTTCGAGGACACGCAGGCCCAAACCGTGCCAATGAAATGCCACTCGCAGCAAAGCAGGGCCCCAGGTTGACCTCCAGGGGGAGGTCAAAGGTTCAGGGTGTTCTCTCTAATCTGTGACCCATCTATACGACACGGCAGCCGTGAGAAAGGCGCCCGAGCAGCAGAAAAGATCCTAGCGTGTTTGTGTGATGGTGACTGAAAAACCTTCTAATCTGCACAAAATACTGAATGTTGCAGGAACAAGAAGGATTACAGATTTAAAAAGTGCTCTGTGATATATGATTAGCCAATGTCTGTGCATCACGAATGAGAAAAAAATGCTTTTATGAGATTTTAAATAATTCACAGTCCTGTCACAGCAGAGTCCAGCGATCTGTTTGTGAGGAACGGACAAGTGTTGACCCAGAGCCACTCCTACTGGGACCCCGTAGAGAGAATAAAAGCTGCTCTGGTGGTTAGAGGGGTTTTTATTGTTGTGGCTGATCTGTGGTTGTATGCAAGTGTTAGTACGGAGGATGTGTTGTTCACATATTCCATCCACATGTGAAGAGAAAAGCCTGGATACACAGAAACTTACAACCGGCTTTGGTTTTAGGCTTAACCTCTAAATATCGGCACACTGGGATGAGATGAGCATAAATAAAAGGAAGGCATATTTAATCTATCTTCAGTCAGAGAGAAGGTAATTCATCATATAGAGTCTGAGATTTATTCAGGAAGCGTAATGTACTAAATATAGATGCAGAGCTCTTTATTAGCTCTGCAGCATCGCTAACGTGCTGAATGCAACCATGCCACCTGCACATGTGAACAAACTGCTCAATGCATGCGTAATGTGCACAATCCATCACAATACACGTTTGTACAGTCCAGCTAATCCATAACTCATCTGCAGACAGGTTAACACTGACTGAGTGAACCCAGCTCAGTCCTAGTAGCCTCAGCTGGAGCTGTTCTTAATTATTCTGTCATGAACCGGGTTTCCATGCGCTCACATAAACTGGAGCACACGTCACCTTCACAACAAAAACATACTGACCAAGAACATTCCTCTTCAGGACTTTATCATCTCGTCTCTAATCATTATTATATCATCACTGATTCGCCGTGAGTCAAAAACGCCTTGGCACCGTCTCCAGGTCGCCACGGGCTGCCAACTCTGTTCTATGATAGCCTCAGTCGGGGAGGTGAGGTGAGCTGAACGCATGACAGAGCTAATGGGCAAGGTTGCTAAGAGGGTTTACTGGAGTCTGTCAGCTCTCTTCCAGTCACACGGAGCTCAGAGAGTAGAAATACAAGCAGAGCTAAGACGGTGGGAGATGCTGACAGGGAGTCCAGGGAAGAAGATAAAAGACTGTTGAGCAAGAAGGAAATGAGATGACAGCAGCTCAGGTGAGCTCAGGCTGCAGGGCTGGGACATGCAAGGCTTCCTTTTGAGGCATCGAAGTCGGCCCTGACAACACGCTGAGGCAGGCCAGCCAGGAAAGCCTGCAGCATTCCTGCTGCCAGCTGCTAAAGCGGTGGGAGGGACATCACAAGTGGACAGAAACATGCTGCTAAGAGATTTATTCACAGCGACGTGAATGAGAGTCTCGGCATGGAGGATCAGTAGTGCACATCAGCGTTTAAAATGACGACCCTGAGTCGAGCCAACAAGCCAGTGAATGCAGAGAGACGTTTGGATGTTTGGACTGAGTTACGATGAGTCTGGCAGGAATTCCTGCATGCAGAGCAAGAGCTGGCAGACTGGACCTCATGAAGTCTTCCACATTCAGGCGCGGGCTGCCTCTTACGTTCACACAGCGCCGCCATTGTTTCGATGGGATATTCCCGTCATGGGGTGACTTTAACACAGCTCTGCCCACATGCAGCGGCCTGAGGGCAAGACATGCACGCCTGTGGCTGGGCGAGGTGACGTCCATCAAAGCACATTTGCCTCACACACACTTTCACATGGATCTTTGTTCACCACAGCTCTGCACTTTAGAGTCATCACGTTATCTAACATAACCGACACATCGTGCAGGCATCGTCTCACTACCACCGCCACAGGAGGTCTCGGTGAGTTTGAGCTTATCACCCAACTCCACAAATGTGCTTCCACACCTACATCCCTCAGTTACCCTCACCTGCACGTGATTGGACTGTGGGAGGAAGCTAAAGAACTCAGAGAGAAGCCTCACACACACAGAACCCAGCTGAGCCGGTACCTGACGTGATGCTAGACTTGTAGTCAAGACCGCCTAAACCAAGACCAAGACAATACCAAGACCAGAGGGTATCGAGACCAAGACAAGACCAAGACCAAGACCAAGACCAAGACAGACCGAGTCAAGACCAAGGCAAAGTCGAGATGAGACCGTGTCAAAAAAAGTCTTTAAACTGCAGCCAGATGCTGCTTCATTTACGGGTGTCAGGCATATTTATGTGTTTTTGCGATGCACTCGAACGCTCCTCTTGAGACACGCGTCTCTCACCCTCTCTGTTGTTCACATAATGATATTATCCTATATCCTCGCATGTGATTGGCCACAATATGGAGGGATTGGAGCATAGTTGAGCCACTGTGTGAGAGCTGAGCAGCGAAAGGAAATTAAGTGAGGAGCCGGCTCTCGCTCAATGTGAGTCGACTCTTCTGATTCACTACTAAGCACTCTCTAAGCACGGCTCTTAGAGCTGATGCTTTTGCACATGACACATTATCGGACGTTACGTTGTGTGTCATGGATACTGTTGACTCCAAATCTCCCGACCACTACGTGGATCTGAGACAGCAAGACCGAGACAGCGAGACCAAGAGAAGACCAAGACCAAAGTCCGTTGAGACCAAGACAAGACCAAGACCACGTAAAAGTGGTCTCGAGACATCCAACTCTATGTGATGCTTCTGATGACAGCCGTGCAAATGTTTCTCACATTTTCACAGGATCAGAGCACCTGTCATAAAAACAAAACTCTGGCATCTTAATAAAAATAATATGCTTTTTGTAAAACAGTAAACAGCAATAACTCTATTATAACTCTAATAATAAAAATGAGTCAGCATGAACATAAATGCATAAAAAGATTAAGTAAGTCAACCATTTTAACATATTTCGTGCCACAGCGCGAAATGCTGAATATTAGCGATGCCGTGTGTCACATGACGTGCACTTTCCAAACGGCAGCACAGCCTGTGACCCTTCCTGGGCCCCTGTGTCCTATTTAGCTTTGCTTGAGTGTTGCCGAGCATGGATCACTGCCTAGGGCTTCAGCGTCAGTAAAGCTGGTTTTCCATATAACCCACA